TCTGTAACAGGGGGGTGTCTATAATGTTCTCTTTCCCGTTGCTATGTGTCTGTAAGGGGGGGGGGGGGGGGGGAAGCCGCGAAACCTCGAACTTACACACTATTTTCTTCGAAAATATATGTGCGTTCCACAAAAGACAGAATTTTCTGATAATCGATTATCTTTAGAAAAAAACTATTATCTTTTAGAGTTTTAAAATATTGCGTATTTTGAGATGAGTATTATGAAACCAAAGAATATATGTGAGTTTCACATTTCAGTCCCAAAGGGGCTGCGCTAACAAGCTTTTATAAGGGTTTTTTACAACTTAAAAGTTTTTATGAAAATGTTTTTAAACAAACCAAAATAAAAGAATTTTAATTTTCATACACAAATAATACGCGCAATTGACACTCTCTGTTCAATAGAGATTGTTACAAGAATAAAAAAAATAAATACTAAGGTGAATTTATTCATCTAGCATAATTTCTTTCTTTTCTTTTCTTTTCTTCTCTTTTGTTTTGTTTTCTTTTCTTTTCTTTTCTTTTCGATAATTTACATTTTTCATTCGTCCACATGAACAGATTTAACATTCGAATGATATAATAAATAGAAAAGAAACAAGCTTTATCCCTGGAGTTGTCGATCATTTTCTTTTCCTCCATCGTCCATCACTCACCATCGCCATCATCATCTTTTCTTCTTTAAGTAATAATCATTTAAAATTGGGAATATCCTTTTCACTTCCTGGAATATATTTATATCTTCTTTACGTCAACGTTTTTCAATACTTAAAAAAGTACATAGTAATCATGTATCATTTGATGTTTTTAGACATTATTAACAACAATTAAAAGAGAAAAATGATCATATTAAATAAATTAATTTTATTAGTGAATAGGTGGTGATTCTTTTTTTAGATTTTTTGTATAAAATGTCAATACTAGTACCACATGCTAATATTATGGTGGACCAGAACGAGTCAAACATCAGTAATACCACTATTGGATCTGATTATATGGGACCTTGTCTTGGATTTTTACTCGACTTTAAATATTTTGGTTTTCAACAATGTATTCTTTCTCATTATACATTTCCAATATCTGAAAAAGATTTAACTGAAGTACAACTATTAGTCAAAATTCTCGAATATATTCTTGCTGAAATACAACATGTTCTTCACGCTCCTTCATTTAAATTTAATGGTACACCAGTATTATCACAAGTTTTTTTATTAGTTGCTGGAGGTGATCCAGAAGAAGCAAAAAATATTCATAAGTCTTTATGTCTTTTGAATGTTAATGAAAATAATTTTGACATGAAATCAGCAACAAGTGACGAAGATGTTTGTTGGTTATATCATGAGTTGTTCAACAAAGTTATCATCTTGAAATCCGTAGTTAAACAACTAAATAACAGAGCGGAAGGTGCAGGTAAATAAAAAGTTATAAAACTTTCGAAATTATTTCAATTTCTATTATAGCATCACGAAACCAGCGTGGTGGAGATTTTGCTTGTTTGTATCTTAGATACTGTTGTCAATCAAAAAATGTTACTATTGGTCTCACTTGGGTTTTAAAGGCAAATCATGATATAGCATTTTTTCAATTTAATTTATATGCAAAAGATTTATTAAATTTTCGATGGGAACTTGAAAACGAAAAAATAAAAAACTTGCAAATTTCCTTTAAAAATAATAAACGATTAAAAACTCAAGTAGCAGATTCTTTATCTCTTATTCCAATGTATCCATATATCACAATGTAAGTCCTTCTCTTATCTTGTTATAGAATATACCTTATTGTATTTCTTTTTTTTTATTTTTTCTCTCGTAATATCTTTATTTCTTTTATAGTCCATGCTATATTAAAATTGGTATCAATGGATTTGGTCCTATTGCTCGACTTGTATTCCGATGTGCATTTGAACAAGGAGTTCAGGTAGTCGCTGTCAATGGTTAGTATTCGATTTCTTTGTTTGTATGTCTTTTAAAATATATTCTTGTAGATCCACTTATTTCTGCTGATGATATGATTTATATGCTTCAACATGATTCAACACGCGGACGTTTCAATGGTGAAGTTTTACAAAAAGATGGAAAACTTGTTGTTAATGAACAAGAAATGAATATTTTTAATGAGTAAATATTTAAAGTCAATAAATATTAATGTCTGATTGTATTTTATTTTTAGAAAAGAACCATCAAAAATTCCATGGGATAAACTCGGTATGTTTTGTCTGTTGATCTTGACATATCAATAATTGATTAATATGATTGTTTTTCTTAAGGCGTTGAATATGTTGTTGAATCAACCGGTGTATTTACAACAATTGATAATTGTCAATCACATTTACAAGCTGGTGCTAAAAAAGTTATAATTGCAGCATCATCAACTGATGCTCCAGTGTTTGTTACGGGTGTCAATGAGAAGAAATATACAGGAAAAGAAACGATTATTTCAAATTCATCATGTACAACAAATTGTTTAGCACCACTTGTTAAAGTTATTCATGAAAAATTTGGTATTATTGAAGCTTCAATGACAACTATACATTCGTATACTTCTATACAAAACATTATTGATGGATCATCAAACAATGTATCAAATTAAACAAGAAAAAAAAAGAGATTTTTATTTATATTTTATTTTTAATAGAGTTGGCAAGATGGATATGAAGCTCCACAAAATATTATTCCATCATCAACTGACGCTGCTAAAGATGTATATTTATTTATTTTATTTTTAATAAATAAGGAAATTGATTTGTATTTTATTAGATTGGAAAAATATTTCCTGATTTAAATGGAAAATTAACTGGTATGGCTTTTCGTGTTCCAACGGCAAATGTTTCAGTTGTTGATCTTACTGCTCGATTAAACAAAGGCGTAAGTCATATTTTTATTTTTAAATTCAATTTATTTATTTAAATTTATTTATTTAGGCTAAATATGATGAAATTTGTGCTGCAATTAAAGAAGCTGCTGATGGTCCATTAAAAGGTATTTTGGCTTATACTGATGGTGAAGTTGTTTCAACAGATTTTATTGGTGATATACATTCATCAATTTTTGATGCTAAAGCTGGTATTTCACTCAATGATAATTTTGTCAAACTTGTTTCATGGTATGCTTCTATTTATTTTTTAATATAGCTTTTTTTAATAATGTAAATATTTTCTTTTTAGGTATGACAATGAATATGGTTATTCAAATCGCGTTGTTGATCTTATCAAATATATTGCGAAAAAAGACTATCGAGACAAATTTGAACCATCTCTCAAATGATCATGAACATATTTTAATTAGTTTTATCTAATCGAACTCTTTTTTTATCTGGTTTTAACTTTATAAAGGAAACTTTTTATTTAATATCTTATACTTCTTGTGTGTGTTATTATGTTCATTCATCCTCAAGAAGAGAAACAGTATGACTTTTTTTCTTCGAATAAATTTATATTTACGCTTATTGTGCATCGTTAAATCCAATTGACAATGTTTAGTAAGAAAAATTTTATGTTTGCTTTCAACAGCACTTTGGTGAAAAAAGAAAATAATCCATATTAATTTGGCTATTATTTTAAAAACAGCTGTTCCTCATCAATTATACAATCTGTATTTACTAAAACATGATACGATTCTAAAATTTACAAAATTATAGGCAACACAGACCACAAAATGCAGTGAACGAGAGAAATCAGATTTTAGAAAAGCTCACTGAGATATGAAAGTTACAATTTTGATCGAACTTTAATCGTTCAATTCTCATAAAAGACACAAAGTCTTTACATAAAAGAATTACAAATTACTGAGAACAATATGAATGTCACTTAATGTTTTATAGTTAATAACTAACCTAGAAAAATAAAGTTCGATTTATTAAATTAAGAACACAACCAAAGAAGAATATTGCAAAAACAGTCGCATATTGATCCTGATAAAATAGCGAGTTTGATATTTTGAATATATTGTTTTATTCGCAGACAGGATGTGAGACTTGTTTATGCGAGAAATACAAAGATAATAAAAGTTACTATAACACAAAAGATATGCAAAACCTTTTCTTTTTATTAAAACAAGACAGTTATCGACAAAGTTATAATTTGCTGAAAGAAAAACAACTTTGATAATTACAAAAAAGTTGATAATAAAACAAAAGCATATGGAAGATGATACTAACAAATAACAAAACATTGGCTTAAATAATTAGAAAAGAATAGTGGTAAATAAACATGAAAAGAAATATCTATGAAAATATTTTACAACCTATTCTATCGATTTTTAGAGGATAGGAATTTTTCTGATCACCAAAAAAAGATACTTTTGATCACCAAATTTTTTATCAAGCATCTCATATCTTTACTTCTGACCAGATATAATTTACAAAATAAACAATCGTTAAATATCTATTAACGCATACGCCATGGTTACAATAACACACCAACACATTTGCGATTGTTCAAGTGAACAGTTAAACATTACTTTGATTGGAGGGCACAAAACTGGCACAATAAAACTCAAGATAGGACTATGAATTTCGCTCAAGAAGCCGTATCACTTTTGCTACACGCTCATCCTGTCTTAACCCTCATCCTCACCCTCAATTTACATCAATAGATTTAATAGCAATGGAACAGCTATCATACTTATATAAAATTTAGTGATCAAAAGCGTCTTTTTTTGGTGATCAAAAATACAATTTTCCTTTTAGATAAATGATTTACAAAATATCGATTTTCTGTTTCTTTATTATCTATTGACTATCGGTACTTCTTTAGCAGGCAATCGACTTCACCGTCACTCTCACTGTTATTGCACTGCTTTCTATTAGCATGAGGTATCAGCTAGAGGATTACTTTGGTTGTTGTTTAACCTATATCTTGATTCTTTCTATTTGATACGTGTGCTATACATTAATAATATCATGGTATACTTCATGTGCATGTCAATTTAAAAATTAGGCTGCATGACCATAATGTGTGTGATACCAAATCCGCATGAAATGGCCCGAAATGTTACGTATTTATTGTATTTCCTTTCGTGAGACAACTTTTGATCCTTCTGTAAAACTTTTCAATTTGAACACTTAACAATGTAAAGCATAGATAATTTCGTCGACTTCTTTTGATTTAAATAGGGATTCACCTTTTTAATGCTTTTAAATCAAAATACTTATTTATATCGATTAAAGCTCCTGATAATAATAAAGCTTTTCGAAATTGTTATTCTATTTCAAGTCAAGTTTTAGGATGGAATTATTTGTGAATTTAATTTAGAAAAAATATAACAACGTTTGTCCTATTAGTATAATAATTAACTGCGCATTGATTCATTTCAAAGAGAGATAAGAAGAAAAATAACTCGAAACGAACGTTATGATATCAGTTCAATGGTAAAAAGCTTTTTCTCTGAACAAAATATCTCATGATGAGAGATGGAACTAGTTGAGTTTTCTTATTGTATAATTTTTTTTTATTTCATTTGGTAGCATAATTAATTTGTGTCTCTTACCTCACATTTATGAGTTTTTTTTTCTATTCTATTATAGTCTATTGCTTTATACCATCTGGTACAGACATCTATTCAACAATCTGTGTGCCTATTTTAGTTCTCCTAGACTTTAAAAAACTATTTTATTAAAAATATAAATTAACAATTAAAACCAAGCTTGTTTTGTGGCGCATTATTTTTATTATTCCGCATCATTAAAGGCTATTCATTCTAACTATTGATTGGTGTTGAATGATTAATCCAATGTGAGACGGTATTTGTTCACTTTAGACACAGCGCTCACTCTCCCCCCACACTCGCACCCTTTCATGTATGTGTATTAAATACGCCAATCAGCGTATACTGTGTTTAAAGTGAACAAGACCTTCAATTGTTATGGAAGAAGTGATGATATTGCAGAGACGGGTTCAAAAACCTAAAAAAAAGTAATGACATATCATGTGAACATCTGCTATTTTATTTTTTAGGGTATTTTCTAAGGATGTTAGATTTCCCAACAATATCGCTTGTTCAACGTTCAATATCTATTGGAATTAATGCTCGTCGTTATATTCAATCATCGTTAAGTGATGAAAAACATACCATTGGTGAAACAAAACCTGTTTCATTAGATAATCTTTCACCTGTTGTTCGTCAAATTCTTTCTAAAGATGCATCATATGCTGTTCGATTTGGTGGTCAATTATCTGAAAATAAAAATATCTTATTCGATAATATTCACGAACAACAGGTCAAGCTGAAAATATATTTTCACAAATACCAAAAGATGATATTATATTATCAACAAACGACGATGAAGATGATTTACCACATCCTCCAATTGTTGCTTTTCCATCAATAGAAAATCATTTTGAAATTGGTTTAGGAACAGAAGATAAAACAATACTTCCTCATGAAAGAGCTCGATGTTTTGGTTGTGGAGTATTACTTCAATGTGCTGATAAAAATAAACCGTAAGATATTCTTTTTAAAATATAGTCATTTATTTTATTTAATCTATATTCCAGAGGTTTTATATCAGTTGAAATATATAAACATTATCTTTCAACAAATTTACAAAAACGAACAAGTTAATGTCACACATATTTTCTTTTTAAATATACAAATGATATATCATATTGTCAAGTTAATGAACAAATTTATAATGATATTTTAAAAGAAATAAAACGAAAACGTGCTTTAGTCATTTTAATTCTTGATCTTCTTGATATACCAAATTCAATTAGTCGATCATGGTCACATCTTATTGATGAATCAACTGAAAATCTTCATACTTCACCAAATATTATATTTATTCTTGGCAATAAAGTCGATCATTTTACCAAAGGGTAGTTTTATTTTAAAAATTGATTTGAATATATTTTGAAAGTAAAGATGTCTTCATATTAATAATAGTTTTATTTTAGACAGTGAAAATTATTTATCTGATGTTCGTAAATGTCTTGAAAATGAATGTACAAAACGTGGTTTAGGAAAACATATAGTTAAATATTATGGTTTAATTAGTGCTCGAACTAGATATGGAATTGAAGAACTTATAGAAGAAAATATTTCGTTATTGGCCACAACATGGTTTGTCTTTATATCTTTTCATTTTTACTTAAATAGAAATATATATACAGGTTGATTACGTTATTTTTAATAGTTTTGTGTAGTTTGCTGTATTTACGTAGAATAGTGGAAGTTTCGTATTTTAACACAGTTGGATAGAGCATCGACTACTCTATCGAACCATATAATTTACATTTTATTTTCTCTGGCTCTAGACCAAAAAATTGGTATATCTCAAAGAGCTATGATAAAAAATTTTTAAAGGTTGTTAACGTTATTTTTAATAGTTATTTTTCTCATATATATAAACGAAAACAAAGTACAATTATGAACGACGTTTCATATGAGAGCCTTGAGCTATCTATAGAAAAGTTAGCCTATATCGACTTTTAGCGCTACCAGCAGATTGCCAAAAAAATATAGGTTGATTACGTTATTTTAAATAGTTTTGCGTAGCTTGCTGTATTCATGTAAAATATGGAAAGTTTCTTATTTTGATACAGTTAGATAGAGCATTGGCTGCTCTATCGAACCATATGGTTTACATTTTGTCTCCTTTGGTTCTAGTCCAAAAAATTGATAAATCTCAAAAGCTGTCAAAAAAATTTTTTTAAGGAAGCAAGTTTCAGATGATGGCTAGGAGTAGATAAATAGCCATGTTTTGTATCTTTTTGCATGTTTTATTAAAACAAAATATACCAGAAGATGCAGCATGAAAAGCTGTACAATCCACATAAGAATACTTGTTTTATACTTTTAGTTTATGTTTTCAAAATGGGCAAAATTTTGAGCGTCCAAACTTCGACCGTGCGAAACTTCGTCCGACAGCATCTTTTTTCTTTTAATTTTTTTCAACAATTTCAATAAGCTTTACTGTCTAAATTGTAGAGCTTTTCATGCTGCATCTTTTTGTATATATTTCTTTTTTTACGAAGATATATTAGGTGATAAAAATATGAAATTAAATAAACGAATATTTGTTCATGTAAAAAAACAATGATTTTTTTGCGATGGCGAAAGTTGGTCGCACAGGATTTTGATTTACTGAACATAAAAGATGTACAATTAAAATAAGATTTACCGTGTAGATTGTAGAGCTTTTCATGCTGCATCTTCTGGTATTTTTTTTTTTTAATAAAACATGCAAAAAGATACAAAACATGGCTATTTATCCACTCCTAGCCATCATCTAAAACTTGCTTCCTTAAAAATTTTTTTGTTGACTGCTTTTGAGATATACCAATTTTTTGGTCTAGAGCGAGAGCAAATAAAATGTAAATTATATGGTTCGATAGAGTAGTCAATGCTCTATTCAACTGTGTTAAAATACGAAACTTCCACTACTCTACGTAAATACAGCCAACTACACAAAACTATTAAAAATAACGTAATCAACCTATATATAGGTAGTGTTTATCTACTCGAGGGTACAAATACTGAAAAAAGTAATTTATTTAATAATCTTATTGATTCTGATCTTTGTCATATTCGTGCACTTGATTGTATTCAACGTGCAACTCTATCAAATCTTCCTGGTAAGATTTTTTGTTGAAAACTTTCATATTTTTATCATATTATTTTAAGTACAACAATGAATGTTCTTCGTTTTCCAATTCAAATATGAACTGAAAAAAATCAATTTATGCGTGCAGAACGTTTAAAAGAAAAACAAGAAAATGAAATAATTCCTGATAAAAATAATAATTTAATTGAAAATGAAACAAATATTGTTCATATGTGTGCTGCTTTTTTTCCTTTCAATGAACAAATACTAAAAGTAAAGTTTCAGAAAATATTGAAACAACAGTAAAATGGCGTCGTCGATTTGAATCTGGAATGAATTTACCAAAGAGTGGTGTATCATATACATATTCATCTGGTGAAAATTCTTTTTATGAAGATCGTTCATTTCAATCAAGTGAACATAATTATATTAATTATCAACAGAAGAAAATGCGACCTTTTAATCCAGATTCATATAACAAATGAAAAATGGCTTTATGATACACCCGGAGTTATTTTATCTGAACAAGTAAAAACAAATATTTTATATTTATTTTGATTCTAATTTATTTATTTTCTATTCAAGATGATTAATAAATGTAGTAATCGAAAATTAGATATTGGACAAACAATATTAATTAGTGGAATTACAAGAATTGATGTTAAACATGTTAGTTTATGGTTTTTAGATTCTTGGTGTGTTTAATAAATTGTTATTGTTTGTAGATTAATAATAATGCTCGAACAAGTCTTTCTTTAATGACAATATCTCGTTTACCAATTAATGTAATAGAAACAAAAGATGTTGAGAAATTTTATGAAAAAGCTCTTGAAAAAAAATCAACTTGGAGTAAGTAATTTTTTTTTAAATATAAAAAGAAGAAATAAATTTTCTAAAGGTTCCTCAAAATCGCATCAATGGTCGTCTGCAAGATCCACCTCAGCTTTATGGACCAACTATTGAAATCCTTGGAATTGGAGAAGAAGAAGCAGCTAGAGATATTGTTTTATCTTCAGCAGGTAAATTTTATTCTAACTAAATCACTCAAATAAAATTTTCTTTTATGTATTTAGGTTGGGCTAGTGTTCAGTGTAGCCGTGATCAATATGTTATATTTGATGTAATGACACCAGATGGTCTTGGTATTCATCTTCAACAACCACCATTACTGCAATATTTTTTTCATTTACATGGTTCACATATAGAACAAACACTATTCTTTAATAAACATGTTTATATGGAAGATCAACAAGAAACTGATGATGATAATCAATATAAATCAGATGAACTTGAAATGATTATTAATGAAAATATATGGAGAAGAGAAAAAGTTAAACATCAAAGACGAGCAAAACGCACATAATTTCAATTTCATGTATTTGTTTTTGTTGATAATTTCAGTTAATAAAATTGAAAAAAAAAATGGAAAGAAAGAAGAATTTGTTGTTATAAATGATCTCCTTGATAACATTGAAAAAAAATCTATTTCTTTGGTTTAAATCGTCAAATTTTACAGAAACCTTACGAGTTCTTTATTAACTATGATTGATATGTTGCCTTTGCTATCAAAGAGAAAACAATGTCACAGTAAATGTTTCTGAAAGTAAGCGAATGGAATCATAAAATAAAAGGCATATTAAGGATGACACTCAACAAAATTTTGTATGATATTTTTAACTTCACCATTCTTGAGTACACATTCACGGTTAATAAGTGACTATCATCATCTTTCACAATAAATTGAGGATAGGAGTGAGGTTGCGACTTACTTTCAGTGCAGTTTTTTTGCTTTCTTGATTTTTTGGGATCCTAAATAAGACGTGTAGGAAAGACGATGCGACTAAAATAAGTGTCGAAACAGTGTCTGTCTGGAGTGCATCATTCATGAATTCCTTAAAAGATGAAAACAATTTATCGATAATAACTTGGTTGAGGCTAGCTCGTGTAGAATAACTAATTAGTTAGTGTGTGTGTAGAGAGCTCAAGAGCTCGCCGTCAGACTGGCCTTCTGTCCATAGCTATATCTAGTATTAGTTGTATGGAAGATATTGGACTATTGGATCTGCTGCTAGGTAACCGAAAAACAGAAATATTCTTCCTGTCAAAGAAGAAAGATCAGTTTGAAAATTAGGTTTCAACGAGATGTACATTATCTGAGTCAAAAATAGTCTGTTGGACTATTTTTCTGCAGTCTATTTGACGAATCGTTAGTCACTGAATGCGTCTAATTTATAACTACTTTTGTATTATATGAACTAACATCACGAAAGAACGATTACTTTTCCCTTCTGCAACAATTTTCTCAACAGAAAACGGTCAACAATGAACCGATATGACCTCTAATAGATTTGAAAACATGTTTTAAGATCACAATCGACCCTTATCCTAAAGTTTGCCACTGATATCTTGTTCTTATTTTCAATTGAAATAGAAAAATCGACATTTTTTTTTATTATATTCAGATTTTATATTTAATCTTAATTAAAATCAACAAAATTATAAACAGAACAAGGATTATGGAGAGAAATCAGAGCTATCATCCTGATCTGATCCATCTATATAATATTCAATGAGGCTAACAGATCAGATCAGGTCAAACGTTGGTGGCCTATGTATGATGTAATATTATTTTCCTTAGTATAATTTCAAACACAGAATATGATTAGATCATAATAAGATTATAGAACTTAGTGGATTAAAAAAAGTGGCCTGTTGATTAGAGCCCATCGGGTCCGGATCTAGAAATTTTTGGACCCGATAGGCTTTACTGTTGACAGGTCTAGTAGAGTGCTGCTAATTGGTCACACAAGTCTCTAGTTATATCATTTAGTATGGAATTTCAATTGAAAATTTTTGATAATAAATCTGTTTTTTAGTTGAGTGAAAATTTGAACATGTTAATAGTGCAATCCTTTATGAGTCATGAAGTGTTTCCTCAAAGACACAAAAAAAAGAATCGTACTTCACAAATTTTCGAAGAATCATTAGAAAAATTGATAATGATTATGAAAGTTTACATGCAAAATTCCATTGTTCTGCACGATGTGATTTAACAACATCATCAAAATTTAATTGATCAATTTTTGAAAATTTCTTTTGTATTTCATTTATTAATAAATCACATTTAGATATTAAACGATGTATAAGCAAGAGAGCAAGTATACAATCGTTGATCAACACCACGTTTAAGAAATTGTTCAGGTAAAAATAATGTTAAAAAATGAACATGTCTTATTAAATTTTCTACATAAAGTTTTTTTTAATTCATTTTCAATTATTTCACCATATGTTTTAGTTTCAACAATTTTAGCTTTAAATTCACTTGATTGAACTGAACTAACAAATTTTAATTGTTCATCATATTTTTCAATTTGTTTTTTTTTACATTGTTCATTTTGAAACTTGAAGAAAAATTTTTTGTGTTTTTAAATAAATTTATTATTTAATAAAATGAACATACTTGCATATTTTTAAATGTTTAACGAAATTTTAATATTGTTCGTTCATGATCACTGATAACATGTTGTAATTGTTAAATTTGTCGATCTTTCTACAAGAAAAAAAAAACATTTTGAATGAATAGAAAATAGAATTAACAAACCTCGCGTTATTGATTGTGTAATAAATCGATATTTTCACGTAGATCATGTTCGACTTCTTTAGCATTTTCTTCCATTTCTATTTTTTATGAAGTAAATAATAGAAGATATGAAAAGAAAAAGTTAAGTTTTTGTTGTACCTTTATCCATTTCACAAAGTGATTCCCTATTTTTTTTATTTAAAACAAAAAAAAAGTAAATAAGAGAAACTTACAAGATTATCAACAGTTTATTGTAATTCTCGTACTTGATCTTCAAGTGAAAGATTTTTATTTGTTAATATATCAACCATTTGTTGAGCATCCAAACATCTATCAACCTAAACGAATACATGATCTTAGTTTTTCAAGAAAAGATACACTATTTATTTTGCATCAAGTCCATTCTCATTACTAGGAAGTTCTCAGTCCAAACCTAAGGTTTTTTCCATGAATATCTCTCATCCTTCGTCTACATGAACAAGTAAATGATCAAGGTTTTACCTATTTATTCGCTACTCTCAGAAAAAAAACTCAGCGTACCGTTATATCTTGTTGATGTATGTCTTCGGTAAACACTTACGACGGAACCATTTAAATCGATACCACTGTCTGAGCTTACATTGAACCTATAGTAGCGCCCATCGGAACCGGTGGGACCCAGCCTACATGAACATGTTGGTGAGACTAGTAGAAGCCGAAAAGAGTTTGTCTCCATGAGCAAATTATGATCATTTTATTGAATTTTTGATTCCGTTTTTGGTGCATACCGAAAAATCAAAAATCAGAAGTTCGAAGAAGTTCGACATAATAGTTTACCCATGCATTTGGTTGAATGACTAGTAGAATATTCTGAAAGTTTCAGCCGAAAGGAATGTTCTTTTGTTGAGATACTGAACTTTCAAATAGTCGTTTGTCACAGATCTGATACAAAAATTAAGTTTACTTGAAAACTCAACATCTCAATAAAAAAAAAAAAAAAATTCTTTTCATCTTAAACTTTCAGGTTGTCCTAAGGGCCATGGAGGACGAATCCTTGTAGGCTTCTGCTAGTCTTGCCAAGATATCTCTTTAAGCGCAAGATGAGCTCAAGTGACGGGTGGTTCCCTCGTCGTTTGGAAAATTACGACCACCACCGGTTTTGTATTATTGCATGCTCCCCTTATGTTACTGGCAATATTAAGAAATTTATCTTTAGTTTAAGCTTTATATATAGCTTCCGACTTTACTATTACATGTCGAATATGACATAGAGCTCCAAAGGCTTTTTATAGGGCTAAAAATTCCATATATTTTCATCTGAAGAGTGTGCACTAGTGTTTTGCGTGATCGCGAATTTCACGATCACGGTCACGATCACGCGTGATCGTGCGTGATTGAGAACTTTTTCCGTCGTCGTGATCGTGATCGTGCGTGATTAGAAACTTTTTTTGTGCTCGTGCTCGTGATCGTGACCAAAAATATCAGTCACGCAAAACACTAGTGTGCACACATTTTCTGAATATTTCAAGAGGGACATGAAATTTTTCGAAATATAGTTTCTATGAATTTCTCATAAAAAAATTTAATCGAATGTTTTGAAGATTAGTATTTTAATTCAACTAAATATTATAAAAAGAATAGTTTTTATTTTTATTGTAGAACCTGTTCTGTTAAATCAGTAATTGTTGCTTGCATTGTTGTAATTTCAACTTTAGCATATTCATTTTCTTTTTGTTAATATTTTAACTTTATGTTCTAATGTTTCACATTGTTTTTTTAAATGTATCGTTTTCAGCTTATTTAGTTTAATGATAAATCACGTAATCTAAACAATGAAATAGATCGAATAAATGAGGGAAAAAAAAGGAAGGTTTTTACTTAATTAATGCTTGTTTCATTGTTAATTGTTCGTTCATCATCAATTTTTTGTTGAATATCAGTTGGGACTTGATTTGGTCCATTTAATTGTATTTCACCTTTAATAACATCTAATTCTAATTGTACTTCTTCAAATTTTTCTTTTAATGTTATATTTTCTAATGTTAGAGTTTCAAACTAGAAAGAAAATTACGATTTAATAAAAAAGGGAGATAAAAGATAAATACTTTTTCTTCAGCCATTTCAAGATCAAGTGTAAGTGATTGAATTCGTACTTCAGTATCAGTCATTTCATCACGATAAGTAGTAAATTTATCACGTGTTTCTTTTAATTCATGTTCTTGTTGTTGTAATTTATCATTTATTTCTTTAATACGTTCGTTGTGCTTGACGCTTATATGTTTGTAACTAAATATAAATATTAATAAATAAAGAAAAGTCGTTTAGTTTAAAGGTTTTTTACTTGATCAAGTTGAAGTTTTGTACTTTCAAATTCTTTAAGTTTTTCAAGATCATCATGACGTTTTTTTTTTTATTAATGTTTGAATTTGCTCTTCTTGATCGTTAATTTTATTCTTTAGACTTATAATAACTTGTTGAGAATCAGATGATTCTGATATTTGATTACTCGATTTTCTTGGTATATTAGTTGATTCAATTGGAGAGTTGGTCGAGGCTAAATTTTTTTTTTTTTCAAGAAAAAATGAAACAAAGATCTGAATATTCAAGATGAAGCAATATTTCAAAGGATACGAAATGTGGCATTTACAGACTATAGACATGCTGTGACTCTTTTCTCAATATATAGAAGTGAAAGTCGCCACTGTCCTTGCTGTAAACGATTTTTGAAAATTCCAATAGAGTGCTGCATGGGGACGGCTTTTCGTATGCGTATCCGAATCTCTACTACTCGTCGAGACTCTCGATAGTTTGTAGAAATGGAAGGAGACCAAAAATTTGACAGATAGATTGAAAATTTTCGCAGATGCAACGTAAAAAGTGGAAGGAAGAGATTATTCTACTTTGTTTTACCATAGAAGTTATTGTTTTGGTCTGTGATAGAGGTGGTTTAATTTCTTGTTTAGGTGGTAATATTCGTTCTGTTGCTACAGTTGTTCGAATATCAGTGGATGATTGAGCTGTTCGAGTAAGACCTTGAAAAAAAAAAGAAAGATTAAGCACTGAATGTGATAAGAAAAAGAAAAACGATCACCATTGATTACATGACATTACTAACTTCTAATTAATTGATAGAAATGAAAAATTCTAATATTTTCATTTGTGTATCATTATTTGGTTACCCAGAAAAAAACAAAAATAAAACTACATATGCTTTTACTACCTGTTTGATCAATATCACCATCAGATCCTAATATAATGATAGAAAACAATAGAATTTTCCTTTCTTTTTTTGTTTTTCTTATGATTATTTTTATATTTAAAGAATATCTTTTTTTTTTTAATCATTTTATACCTGTAAGTTTAGTGGTTGTACCGGGTGTTGGTACACGAAGTCCTCTTTGTTTTGTTGTTACAGCACTTGTTCTTGAAATTGTTGAAATTGATGGCGGTGGAATACTTCCTCTACTATCTTCAGATTGTATTGAATGATTTGAAGATGATCAAGTTAGATTTGATTGTAAATCACTAATTACAGATTCAATTTGTTCAGGTCGTGTACATATAGACCATGATTATCATTACATGTAAAATATCGTAGAAATGTTTTCATCATAAAAGAATATTTATATGTCAAAATCACATAGAATATTATCATTATCTTTCTTTTGTAGAATTCCATTATTTTTTCCGTTTGGTTCATTAAGAATAACGCTAACCCATTCACCTGTAAAAAATTTCGCATAGAAATTCAAAGAACAAAAAAGAAATTTAATTACCATTAACAAATTCTGTTTTTCCAATAAATGCAAGTTCCTAAACCTTTGCCAGCAATGAATAAATACTCGTTGATCGAGATGAAACAATGTTGTTGAAGTCATTTTTTTAAAAAAATAAACATAGATAAATGATAAGGGGTCAAACACACTAGAAAAGTGAATTAAATTAAATCAGTTTTAAGTCAATACCCCATTCACACTAAATAGCTAAATGACCAATGAGAACGGACGATAGCCTCTTTGATGTAGAGTCAATGGACGTAATTCTGTCGGAAAAAAATTATCTTCAGAAAACCTTTAATAACTCGACTTCCCAGTGACATAGAGAGATGAATTTTTTTTTCCGGCGTACAGCAAACATTTCTCTATCGATTGATGTATAATTGATTGCAAAATGTTTAGTCGTTATGGCGCAATACCAGTGAAAATAGCAAAGGGGTAAAATTTTATCTTATTCTGCTCTGGATTTAAGTTTGCCGATCAATGTATTTTTTTTTCTAATTCTGCCGTTTACACGTAAAATTGCACTAAAATTTCGTAGAAGTTAAATTTCTCTATGAAAATGAAGCCTAATTAAAATGGAACACACATCATTCGATTGATGCGATGACGGTGCCTTGAGTCGTATATTTTTTATTATAGATTAATTATCGTTAATCCAATGATTTTTAATGAAAAGCAGATAAGGTCTCAATAGGAGTGGTTTCAACAACATCTATATGATATGTGTTGAAGTAAAATTATGGAAGAGCGTACACACGTTTTTTGAAAGTTAAAAGGCGTATACTCGATTGTTTAAATGTAGAAGAATATATTCAGACATATTTTTTCATTTTATGATTTTTTTGAATAAAAACACAAAATTTTGCCTCGAAACAATTGAATTATTATTTTTGAGAGAGGAATTTCAAAAGTTTCTTTATAAAAACACTGAAATTCCAATTTGTTGAACAAATGTTATAATTTTCTTGAATTCTAACTGTTTCTTCCTTATACATATACATGCGCCATACTAAAAAAGTGAACATTAATGAGGCGGCCCTAGTATTTTTTTCGATTGGCGAAACGATATGGCATTTCATTGGTACATTAACATTAATTCACTTGAAATGAAAAAGTTGACTGAAGTCTGTTTTACTGTTTTAACGTAACTCACGATTCGATTGGTTAATTCAGTTTTAATTCGCGTAGTACTATTCATAATAATTGATGCATCTAATTATCCAATGAAATTGTCTACAGCTGCCACTAAGGATCAATTTTCAGCTGTAGATAAAAATAAACCAAAACCGAGAGACTTCGAATAGATATTAAACTATTTTAATTAAATTAAATTTTCTAGAGATATAAATGAGAGATGTCGTTGATAATCATCATTCTATCAAAAGATAGTATTTCAACATTTATAGTCGATCAATTAAAATAAAGATTTTGTTATTTAGAAACATGAAAAAAAAGGAATAACGAAATGTTTTTACAAGTGAATTAATGAAATAATATTGAACGTAAAGTAGTGAAAAGTTTAACAACAACGTATGTTTAATGTTTTTAGTCTGCAATGTTAATCATCTAACTCAAATTCAGATAGATGATGACAAGATTTTAAAAAAACCGAAAACGGTCCTATCTTAAAGAGTACAGAATTCTACACAAAATGCTGAGTCACTCCATTTCCTACAGCCTTTCTTTAAAAATTCAAAAGCATCACAAAGACCGAAAAAAAAGTCGTTTCTTGATAAATTTCGCCATTTTACACTTTTTTTGTGATACTTTTAAATTTTTAATGAAAAGCCGTAGAAGATGAAGCGACCCAGTGTTTTGTGTAGAATTCTGTGCTCTTTAACATGGGACCGTGTTCGTTTTTTTTAGAAACCTTGCCATCATAGTTCACCTATGAAATCTTGCTATGAAATACATTATATAGAAAATTCCATTGACTATTAAAAAAAATCATTATCAGAATTTGAGTTAGATGCTTAAAATTATAGAAAAAATAGAATATGAAAATTTCTAGAAAAATATTTTTGTTTTATTTAATTGTTGATTAAACAAACAAATATCATGAAACATTTTATTTAATAGAAAAATATTTCAATGAATGAAACGGTCAGATTGATATCAAATAAACTTGAGTTTTTTTTTAGTCACAGATATCTTGTTAAAGTAAATATATTCATTTCGAGATAACCAAAGATATTCAAGAAACATGAGAAAGTTGTGAATAATGATAAGAAATCAAATGAAATTATTGATTTCATTATATTAATATTATTACGACATATGAAAGTAGAATAGCAACAAAACATTATAATTTGTATTATTTTGTTTACACATGTATATTTTTGTTGTATGTATTTGATCCAATGAATATTCGATACAGACTATTGTATTCACCTGGAAACATTTTTTTTTGTTCCCATTGGACGTAAAGAACTAATTATAAAACGATATTGCTATTCTTAAATTAAAAACAATCCTATCGAATCATCACTTGTAGTCATCAGTTGCAGATATACGACATCAGATGGTGGCGAATCTAGTGTTCTTAGACAAGTGATACTCAAAGTTATTGGAAACAAAGAGACGAAATGTAATAATTCAATTAATAATATCACTTTGTAATTCTGTACAACTGTTGATAATGGCGACCAACGGTAACTAAGGTTTTATTGTCAGTTAAAAACATAATTGTGTATTTCGTATGCTGAATAACTATTAATTGAAAACATTTTAAAATTTTTTCAGAAGGTCATTATCATCGGTGTGATGTTCGTCAATAGAATGAAGGCTGAGTCGTTACGGTTAGTTACATAGAAAGTATTAATAGGTCAAATAATGAAAGTAGTTCTTATAGATCAAAATAATTTGAAGAAATTTTCTACGAGCAGTAAAAGTCTTTAGCGTTTTTCCGTTAAAAGTCTTAGAATATTGAGAATCTTTTAATAATATTGTGTATCACATCATCTAGTACTCATGTGATTAATCCTCTTAAGGAAATTAAATATAGAAGATCAGACTAATCGATTTCTTATTTGTAAATATATGAAATGATAAAAGTAAAAGTGCTAACAAAAAGAAAATGCATCGCTATTCATTTTGTTTCTTGTTGCAATGTTGTTTATCACAAATGAGTAAGTATATATTGACACAATAAACTTGATTGTACTGAACACGGTGAACACTTATTACACATAAAATTGATAATTATAATATCTTCAAATTTATATATTTCCTTTGCATATATTATCTATTGTCTAAATAATTATTTTCTCATGCGAACGTGATATGTTATCTGACAGTTCTCGATATGATTTCACTACTAACTACGGTAATTTTGGCGAGAAAACAATAGCTTTTCATGTGTGAAGTTGAACAGTTTCTATCCAGTGTGAAAACAATCGTCATAAATATGGTGGAATTTACGGAGCTGTGGGTACACGTTTTTGTGGATCCGAGCCCGAATCCGGTCGGGCTCAAACCCGAAGTTTTTCCCATCCATTATCTGTCACCCTTCGTGTACATGAACAAGTAAAGGATCACGATTTTAGCGATTTATTCGCCACTCTCTGAGAAAAAAAACTTCAGCGTACAATAATATCTTGTTGCTGTATTTCTCATTTGGGTAGCAGCGGATTCATAAAAACGTTGAACGCGGCCTGACAAAAAATAAAACGTTGAATTCGGACCCAGAAAAAATAAAATTATGGACTCGGACCCGACCGATCGGATCTGGGTCTGGAAGCACCCGCAGCTTCCTCGTGGAAGTATTGTTTCTCTATATTAAATTATAACAAGAGCTAGTTTTTTCGAAAACGATTCAACGGAAAAAGATAGTTTACATGTTACCTTCAGTATAGATACTTTATCACATTGAACATGAACAAGAATGTGAACATCAAACATTTCGTTACATCTTGATATGATATTCAACAAATAATGAAAATAATATTATCACAATTACGGTAATGTCTTTCATATCTCTAATATCATTTGTATCTACGTGTTGCTTGATATCGATTATGCATATATTAATGTATTTGTCGTAAATTAGGCTGTGCTGTATATATTAGAGATATAAATCTTTTATCTCCTATATCTGTGATGAGTTATGCCAGGACTTGAGGGAGCGTCTGTGAAAATCGATAGAAAACATCTAATCGAAAGATAAGAAAGTGTTCAATGATTAGAATTTTATCAGCTAAAATTATCAATCAAGTCTATAGTTGTTTTTAACTAATCAAAGTACACCTAGTGCATAGTCACAAACCTATTTCTGCAGTTCATTAAACTACTTGACATTTATATTTTGTTTTCTTGTATACTGTACCATAATTTCGTTTGTAATGAAGTGCACAATAGAATGCTTGTTGACAATTCGCTTGTGATATGTGATTCACAGAAGTGAGTAAGATTCGAGATATTTCTCTGTCTCGTCGACTGTTACAAGCTCCTGTATGATTTGGTAATGTGCCTTCAAAATAGTATTGAATATCACCACATTGGAAACTACGAGGATATCGACCAATACGTTCTTCACTTATAAAAGTTGAAGTCGTCGAACATTTTAGTATAAGTTGAATACTGTTCTTCCTCGTCAATACCATCTAAACAATCGATGCTGTACGGATTATCTCTATCAAATGTTCGAGGAATGCATTGATCATCATAATGATATCGATATTCATCATCAGCACATTTTGTCATTTCTAACTGTTCACACCACTGCTCATCTTCTGCATTTGTACAATCAGTTTTTCCATCACATATTTCACGCCAATCAAGACATAGAGGCCATACGTCATGATTACAATTATCTATAAATCGATAACATGTTTCATCAGTAATGTTGATGTTAATTTCTGAGCGATTTTTGAAAGTTGCATCAACAATATCACCACATGATGATAATAAATCATAAAGAAATTTATATTGACACATAGAACCAAACTATGGTGGTGAACAATTGTAAAAAACTTTTGCAGTTGTACTATTGATTTCATAGTTTTCTGCAAGATCAATAGATGCCGATCAACGAAGTAATTGTTCACTAGTGACATTTTGTTTCTTTAATTCGTTAAATGTTATTGGTTTTCTTTGAGTTTCATCTTCGATATTTACTATATCTTTTTCTTTTTGACCATAATCTGGTCTTCGACAATAAGGAGTTAAATGATAATTACGAATATAAGGTACAATATCTTGTTTTTCACCAACCATCATATAAGCATATAAACAATCAAATGTAGGTTAGAACGATTGGCGATGATCAGAATAATACAATGACTATCCTTTCAGAACACATGAAGCCAAAAATATCATTGTACGTAGCATCATTAAAGTTCGATAACTTGATAACAATACACTGAGTGCTCCCCGCTTTTGATTCTACCTAAAGGAATATGAATGAACAAACGTTCTTTATTGTCAAGGCACAAAATTAATAAATAAATATCTCAATCCTTCATTTGTGATAAAAAAAGTCATGATGGATTGTTAGTGTCATAACAAATCTTTTCTTTTTTTTATTCAGTGACGCTTTAGCGGGCTACACGGCCTTCTTCAGTCTTTACTGTTGTAAAATATCATGTACTATTTAAACCATGCATAGAATACGAGGGAAATATTTAACGGTTGGATAACGTTCGATTTTGTATAAAGGCTAGAAACAGTTCCCGATAAGACTAAGAAAATTTTAGAGCGACTTGAGTCCAGAATCTATTCTCGATGTTTTATGAGCTTGCAATGAAGGTTTTACAGAAGGTACGGCATTTTCAAAAAAGTTAAAACAAAGAGTTTCGAGTTGAAACTATGTCTATAAGTATATTTGAGATTCATTAAATTATCCTGGAAGTTTTAACGAAAACGAACACGTTTTTCCCGAGATATTTAATATTTAAAAATACAGAGACTTACTCTAGAATGGCACAGTAATCAAGTCTATTTGAAAGTTGAATATCTCGCGAAAGACATGTCCGTTTATGTTGAAACCCGTAGCACAATCTAATGGCTCTCAAACATACGTACGGACATTATTTCAATTCGAAATTCTTTGTTTTGAGTAAAAATTTGTTTGAAACGGTCATAATCTTCAATAGTAGACCATGAGCATGAATCGCTTTAAGATTTTCTCAGTCTTATCGAGACCTACTTATAGCTTTAGTGTGATGTCGTACTTAGGTGGGATAGATGAATATATTCCCTGTTAATTTTATGTCCTTCATCGTTTTTTTTATATTTTATTTTCTACTATTATTATTAAGTAGTAGTGTGTGAGTGAGACAGTGCCAGATGATCAAAGTAAATTTCTCTTGTCATCTTCATACAACGATTATTAAATAGCATTAATAATAGAAGAGAAAGAAAAAAAAAGAATAGAAGACAAGTTAAGACGTATGAGTTTCCTGATACAAGTATATATTTTATCTGACAGTAATAAACTCTAAATACGTCAGCATTGATCACGTGAATGTCACGAGAAGCAGAAAAAAAAACATACTATAATAGCGAACAAGAGATTTATCAAGTAACTAATATATGTTTATTTCCTTACCTATCAGTATAAAACAGATAGCCTTTTGATTTCTTTAAATATTGGTCAAATAATCCAAATTTAGTGATGAATCGGAACCTTTCTAACTAGTATTTACTCTTAAGGTTTGCTTCATTTATAAAGTTGATAAAAGAGAATAAGGGACGCATGAAAAACATGATATTTAACTTAATAAAACAAAAGACTAATTAACTTCTATGAAGATATGAAGTGAAATATTGACGCAGAATTTTCGACACATATTAGAAAATAGATTTAATATAGAATACGGTAGAAATGTAGAGCATAACATATTTTACTTATTGATATCGAATACTTTCATTTTCAAATAACACTAGAAGGCACGCAAGTTCGCACAAATTGATCAGTGATCTTAATTAATATGGAAATTCTTGTTCAGACGATTAAGTACCTGTTAGTCTATTCAAATTTTCACTCTTATAAAAAAAAATGATGTGAAAAACAAAGTCGAGAGTTTTAAAAAAAATACTCCTTGTTCGAAGTGGATATTTTACTTTCTTGTGAATCGTTGTTCCTATCAAGACGTTGCGATGCATATCATCTGCAAAAACGATATTCATGAAATAGTGTTGGAAAACTTTGTGCAAATAATGTTTATTATTATTCTATATCAGTATGATCATCGGGCATATTTTATTTTTTTACTTTTTCATTCGATTAGGACTGTGCAAAAACAAATAACATTTGCAGTTTCATTCCTTATGCATTGAATCTTAGGATTTAGAATTTTACAAATTGTACTCGGTACTCTTATCACCATATCTATTTAGGTGTGAATATGAATAGTAGTCTTCTGTTCACTTATACATTCACACTCTGTATACAGAGTGATGAAAGTAACTGATAGTACAAGGCACGAAAAGCAGCTTTTGTCTACATGGATTTTGTATTTATAAGTAGAGAATGCATGAACATATATTTCAATTAGATTACATGAAATATGAACATTAACTCTCAATTTATAGGGACAGTATTTGTACCAGAGCTCATTTTGAATTTGTATTTGCACAGCTCTCTGAAATGTGATAGACTAAGATAGAAATTGTCATTATTAGAAACTCTAAGAGTTTATAGGAGCTTCACATTGTAGACCATCGTAGAATTATAATAATAAACTGTTTTTCGAAAAAATCAATGATATCTTATACCAGCTTTTACGTTCGAATAATTGTATTTGTTCTCATTATGACAAACTGTTACGGACATAGTCATAAGGATATAAGTAAAATAATATAGACAGAAGGGTATGGTTAACAAAAAATAGAAATAGATGTTTAAAGTTCACAGTAAAGACATATGTTCATAGCTATAAGCATGCAAGTATAAGCCAATATCATATAGGTATCTATATATGGATAGAATCCTAAAGCTATCCATATATGAGTACTGTCATGGGATATTGTCGTGGTGTATACGTTTAAATTCATAGTTTTTAAGGTAAAGAGATTTTGTTTTATTTATTAGTATGGCTTTATTTCATTATTATACGAGACCATACGTGTATGTTGCACCAAGTGGGTGATTTATGGTCCATTCACAATCGTCATAATGATAGACATGGATTCATTTATGACATCACTTATTTTTGTTGTATTTATCAGTGACCCAGAGAAGGGAAAGAAATTATAAATATCAATATCATATCGTTCCTCCTGAAGATAAACTTGTTTGAATATGATGATAAACAAAGTCATAAATGACGGTATGATGTTATTTATAATAGTCGTATACATATTATACGTGGTTGCGTTTACGACATGTATTCATGAGTATTATAATTAAATAATAATCTGTAGATTAAAAGATTGCAATTTATATTTACAGTGACATCTATCGTTTCAAAGTTTCCAGTCGTCATTCATTCTTTTTATTTTTGACATAAATCATGATTCATTCATTGTTAATAAAGATGATGCAATATGAAACCTATTGGACTCGCATGTGACTTGATAGATGAAGAAATAGGAAGAAATTTATTCTGTAATAATATATAAAAACTACATATGATTGTATATAATAAATATATTATTTTATATTCAATCATTCGTATGATAGTAACTGTGTCGAACGTCTTAAAAAATGACTATTGCGAATCATTCAACTGAATGCTGCTATTTAAATGAAGATGATAATGAGAAAGATCAACGTCGAAAAAATTTATTAAACGATCCAAATTATGGAATAGTTCTTTGTTTTCTGGATCAATTTCGAAGTGTACTTAATTTACCTAATTATCCATTACAATGTTTTGAAGATCATCTTGTCAATTATCAAGAACCAAGTAATTTTATTTCTTTTTAATAATTTATCTAGAATAACTATTTTGTATTAAATTAAGTTTCACCACGTCTTATTGACTTTCATTTTACTCTACTCAAACGATTATCTTTAGCAAAAAATGCTCAACATAACAAATTCGATTCAATTATTACTAAAGTAAATTGAATTCTTTTTTTTTTTGTTTCTTCATTTTTTGACTTTTATTCACTTATTAATAGTTTGCTTCTCGATTTGATATAAACGATAGTGAATATTTAAAAACAACTGGTTATTTACACGCAGATATTAGTTTAAAAATTCGAATTATAAAAGTAAATAAAACTATCAATAAACAGGCATTAATCGTCAACTACCATATACATAACTCATTATTACGACCGTATATCTTCGTGTCATATTCGGAGAAATATGATGATTAGCAGAGCAACAAGAAAATAATTGCTCTTCTACTCTCTTCGTACACGGAAACCGTATAGGATCGTAATATTGACCTGTTCATAATAAAATAACACAAGATTTTATAAGGTCATTGATACGCCTATCAAGACTGGATTTGACTAGTCAAAATTTATATAAATCTTATTTCTAGAATTTACTTGAAAGTCAATTTGATTTAAATCAAATCTTAAAAAATTCCTTAATTGATAAATCAGCATGTGAAATAAAATCTTCACCATTAGGTCGTGATCGTTTTGGTGTTTCGTATTGGTTTTTTATGGTGTGTATATTTTAATAAATATAATAATGAAGATCTATATTGAATTATCATAGGATAAAGATTGTTTTGTACGATTATTTCGTGAAGATATTGATATTGATCGAACATGGACTAATATTGCTAAGTGAGTAAAAAAAATGATTACAATTAAGGAAAAAAATTATTTACATTTGTTTTGATAGAAATCGAGATGAATTAGAAAATTTTATTAAAATATTGATTACGGATTCGCTTGTACGAAAGAGATTTCCTGGTAAGAAAAATTAGAAATTGAAATTCTCTATCGATGATTTTATTATACAGATTGGATAATTGATTATGAACAATATGCTTGTTTACAACCATCAAATGATTTTGAACAATATTATACTTCCAATGCAGTTAATCTTAACGAACAAGAAGAAGAAATGAACACAATTTCAAATGATGATGATGATCATTCTAATGTTTCAATAAAAACAAAATGTGGACGATTGAAAACTTCAAAAAAATTATCAAACAATAAAATTGATACAGAAATAAAACAAGCAGTTAAAACATCAATTCGTCGAAGTAGAAAACGAAGTTTTCCTATTGAAGAAAATCATAACGATGATCATCAAATTCCACAAGAAGAATCATCTATAGATGATGTTTGCCATTCAATACGTC